ACATATTAAGGTTCCTTATGTCCTTAACCCATTTACTGGGTGTAGAATTCTAGATTTGAAGTTTTTATCTTTCAGTGCTTCAAAGATGTCACTTCATTATCTTGGCTTGCATTGTTTTGACAACTACATTTATTTTTTATCTTTGTTATGTATGTATCTTTGTGTTTTTTCTTTGACTGTTTTTGGAACTTCTCTGTCAGTGATTTTCAGCAGTTTGATATGATATGCTTTGGTGAGATTTTCTTTTTGTCTCTGTTGTTTTGGTTTTGTTGTCTTCCTTGAGAGAGTGTTGAACTTTGTTTTGGCCAAGTAGTAAAGTTATTTGTGGATCAGCTTAACGTTTTCATTGCTTCTTTTTAAGCTTTGTTAGGGCAGGTTTAGAGAAATTCATATTCTAGAATTAGTTTGGCCCTCCTACCTTCTGATGTCTTAGTTAAATACCTTGGTACATGACACATCAAAACTCAGATGTTTCCAAGCCCTGAGTGGGCCCTGGGAATTGTTCAGCTCACAGTTCCCTGTTTAGCCTAAAGAGTTTTCCTACACACATGTGGCTTTGTATTTAGCCAAAGACTCAATGGGATCCCCAGGCAGAGTTCTGGAGATCTTTCTCTGGACAGCTTCTTCCTTCCTGGTATCCTGCCCCTCAAATTTCAGTTGTTTCCTCTCTTCAAATCAGTGGGACTACTGAGGTGTTCTGCTGGGGTTCCCCTTAGGAAAATGGCTTTAGGCAGAAAGTCAGTGTCATGATAGGGCCCACATCGTTTGTTTTTCCTTTCTCTTAGGGATGATCCTGCGCTGCCTGTTGTCCAGTGTCTGAAAACAGTTGTTTCATACGTATTTTGGCCAGTTTCCTAGTTTTATGGCAGGAGGGTAGTTTTGGTCCCAGTTACTCCATCATGGCTGGAAGTAGAAGTCCCCAAATGCTTTTTAAATATTGCTCTCTCTAGATTAATCTAAAACACTTTTTTTCCAACTACAACTTCATATTGGCTGTAACTCAGAAGTTATATGTCACTTGGAAAATATTTGTTCACTGAGTTATACAGATCTTCCAAATGTTAACATATTTCATTATAAAATATTTTTAAAAATCATATTCCTTAATGTCTCCATCAGTCTCATCAGAAAATTCTAACTTTTGGAACACTGTCAAGCTCAAAGTGGCAGATACAAGTTTTCTAAAATTCTAATTTTCACTGAAAGGCTTAAATTTTTTTTTTTTTTAGAGACAGGGTTTCACTGTCACCCAGATTGGAGTGCAGTGGCATGATCATATTAGCTCACTGCAACCTCAAACTCCTGGGCTCAAGCAGTCCTGCTGTCTAAACCTCCCAAGTTGCTAGGATTACAGGCTCGAGCCACCACACCCAGCAGAAGGCTTAATTTTAATCATTGGCAACAGATACTGTTGTTTTTCATGAAGTGGCAGGCTTACTTTGTACATTTTTGAGAAAATGTCTGCCAGATGCCCAGTACTATATAACTATTATTTTTCTGTTAGTCATTTTTCGAGACGAAATGAGATTCTATGAAAAAGCAGCTAGTTCACCTTAAAGTAAGTTTCTGCAGGTTTTTTCCCAGAGACAACCATTGTAATTCGGAGTGCAGCAGAGAACACACGATGTTCTTCCCATTTTGTCACACGGAATATGAAAGTGATACGGACTTCAGGGATTTGGTACAGTTAGTAATGTTTTCACTGTTTCACTGAGGACATTCGCCTTTTTTTTTTTTTAAACTGTAAGAGCCTACCTTGATTCTTGCTCAAATTCAAGGAGTTTTGCCCACCATTGCTTTTGCACAATCAGTGCAAATGTCAACACAGTAAAAAAGGGCAAATAACCCCTTAGCATTGTTACTAAAATAGTTTTAACCTTGGGAATCTGCAGACCACACGTTAAGAAATTCTGACCTAGGTGAAGAAATGAACGCAGCATGTGTTTTTAATTTGCCTATGTAATGCAGGAGCACAGTTTTTTGTAGGAAGTTGGAACACTGAAGACAACACAAAAGGAACAGTCCTATCTTGCAGTCCCTCCGAGGGCCTCAGACAGAGGAGCTTTTACAAATTGTCTGAGGTGTCTGTTCTTCCTTTTAGGGAAGCTATTGCTATTGCCAAGGCCCGGCTGCGCCCAGAGGACCCAATCCTGAAGGACTTGTACCTCAGCTGGGGAACCGTCCTAGAAAGAGATGGCCATTATGCCATAGCAGCCAAATGGTAAGCCTGGGGGAGACGGGTACATCCAAACATAGCACTTCAGCCAGGAAGAGCAGGACAAGAATAAAAGTAGTAAGTTTAGGCCAAGCATGGTGGCTCATGCCTATAATCCCAGCCACTCAGGAGGCTCAGGCGTTCGAGGTAGCAGTGAGCCATTATCGTGCCACTGCACTCCAGCCTTGGTGACAGAGCAAGACCCTATCTCAAAAAAAAAAAAGAAAAGAAAAGTAAGAAATTTAGAGATGGAGATAAAGTGGCTAAAAAATAAAAAATATCTGTGTATTCACCCAGTTTCCTAAGACTCATCAAGATCTACCTCCTGATTTATTTATATAAGTCACCATAACTATTCAAGAAAACTCAGTAGCAGACTCAGAAATTACCTTTTTTTTGATGTCTTATACCATCAAATAAGAAAAACGAGAGGGAATGACTCCTCTGTTTGGGTTAAATTCAGCACATATTAAGGTTCCTTATGTCCTTAACCCATTTGATACTGTTTCTCATACACTGCACTGTGCTGGCCTCACCTTCACAGGAACAGCCAGAGGCAGTGACACACCTGGGACCACAGGAAGGCACATGCAGCAAAGTGGACAGAAAGAAATGATTCAGTCCTCTGGGGGGTGGGAATAGAAGATTTGTTTATGACATTTTGTTTGCGTTTTCTTTGTATTATAGCTATTTAGGGGCCACTTCCGCTTATGATGCCGCCAAAGTTTTGGCCAAAAAGGGGGATGCAGCATCGCTTAGAACAGCTGCAGAGTTGGCTGCAATCGTAGGAGAGGATGAGTTGTCTGCTTCTCTTGCTCTCAGATGTGCCCAAGAGCTGCTTCTGGCCAGGAACTGGGTGGGAGCCCAGGAAGCCCTGCAGCTGCATGAAAGTCTACAGGTCAGTCTATTATTTCATCTCCTGGTATTTAAGAAAGAAGGGTTTCAAATTCTTTTCTAGTCAAATCCAAGTGAATAACCCTGTTGCACAAGCTATACCAATTTGGCAATTATCCTTAGAAGTGTCCAGCAAGCCCAGCAAGCCCTGGCTGTGCTATCCCACTGAAGTCCTTTGGCTTGTTGGTTGCCATATTCAGAGTAAGAGATGATATGGTCATCCATGGTAATTCCCATTGCTTATCAGTTTGTACAAAACATCTGTGAATAGACTTTAGTCAGCCCAGCCCCTGGGTTGGCAGTTTGGGTTTCTTCATCGATGTCATCAGCACTGTCTTCCTTGAAGAGAGAGAGTGGTTGGCCTCTAACAGAAATCATGCCTTTACCACCCGTCTTAACTATAAGCTATTAAAAAAAAGTGGGAGAAAATAGAAATATTTTATTTCTTAAATGTTTATTTGTTCCTATCAGGTTAAAAATGAGTAACTTACCACTGCCTTTTTTGACACATCAAAATTAAGATAACTTTTAAAGCATTGGCTCTCTCACTCTCACCTAGTTTCCAGAACATGTAAACATTTGGTCCATTTTAGATGACTTTGCTTGTCAGGTACCAATGTGAGATTTTAAGTTCTTCTTCCCCTAGCAGAGTTAACAGGGCCTGAGAAAATATTATTATAGAGGTATGCAAGGAATCTCGTGGCAACTGTAAATCCAGCAAAAATTAAAGATTTTCCAGGCCTTTTCTCTGTGTTTCTGTTCTCTACCAGCCGATTTCTTCTCTTAACCCTACCGGAACATGGCCTTTAATGGCTACCCCGGCTCTCAGTTCTACAAAGCTTGTCTGCTCCAGCCAGCACCTTTGGCCCATTACACTTCTCTTCTGTGTTCCCAAGTCTGAGGTTTGGCCAGGGAGAAAGAACCTGATAAGCCCAGCCCATCTTTTCACAAACTGGGCCACAAGCCTTAAGTGGCTGGCCTATCTGGGGCTTAAATTATAGTGGGTAGGGCTGTAGTTGGGGTTCCATGTTAGACAAATAGATTTCTTGGTCTCCAAGGGTAGAACTCCCCCTAAAAAGACACCTAGAAAATGTCTATCGGATCACCCCTTTTTGTCCCCCTCACACGTGACTTAAATTGGGCAAGCAGCTCACTAAGGGGCTTTGGTTGCTGCCTAAGCAAAGGGGAATACGTTGAATAACTGGGGGAAGCTCTCTGGACAATCCAAGCACTTTTCTTGTGTAACTGTTCCTCTTCTTTGCTGTTGGGATCCAGGGTCAGAGACTGGTGTTTTGCCTTCTTGAGCTACTGTCCAGGCATCTGGAGGAAAAGCAGTTTTCAGAGGGCAAAAGTTCCTCTTCCTCTTACCACTCTTGGACCACAGGCACTGAAGGGCCCTTCGTGGAGAGAGTGACCGCAGTGTGGAGGAGCGCCTTCAGCGTTGACACCCCAGAGCAGTGTCAGGCAGCCTTCCAGAAGCTGCAAAATATCCAGTATCCGTCTGCTACCAGTAACACCCCCTCCAAACAGGTACCCCATCCGCACCCACTTGACATTAATCAGTCAGTAGTAGGACTTCATCCACGTCTAGTGTAACAAAGCGGGGCCCAGGCAACCCGGAAAGATCCCTTCAGACTAAGTAAAGCCCTTTGGCTTTGAAGTTGGTCTTAAATCAATATTCACTATTTAAAAACAGTCCAAAAAATATAGAAAAGCGTAGAAAATAAGTACTCATCAACCAGAATTAACAAATGTTCACATTTTGTCATTTTTGCTTTGTAGGATTTTCTGGTTTTGTTTTATATATTCGTTTGAGGTTTGTTTTGGGTTTTGTTTTTTGGTTTTTTTGTTTTGGGATTTTTTGGTTGTTTTTTTTTTTGATAAAAACAATATGATAAAGTTGAAGTCCCTCTTATTCCCTTCCTCAGCTTTGTTCCCTTTCCCTATCTCACCAAAAGCATCTCCTGTGTCATACTATATCTGTTATTTTGCAGCTTGCTTATTTTAGTGGTTACTGTTTGTAAAACCTATCCATGTTGAGACAAAGAGATCAAGTTGGTCGATTTTAACTGCTCTGTCCATCTTATAAATACACCTCGATTTAACTACTTCTTGTTTTTAAAATGAAGGAACATTGTTATATTTATGAGGAGTAAGACTTGTCAAATGGTACACTTTGGAAAAGTCTGGCAGTTTCTTATAAAGTTAAACATACACATGACCCAGCAATCCCACTACCTAGATATTTCGCTCAAAGAAATGAAATCAGGTGTCCACACAAAGACTTGCACACAAATATTTATAGCAGTTTAGTCCACAATAGCCAAAAACTAGAAACAACCCAAATGTCAATCAACTGGTGAATGGGTATGCAAACTATGGCGTGTCCACCCAATGAAACACCCTACTGTGTAACAGTCCAAGGAACAAAGTACGGGTACACAAATGGTATCAGTGAATCTCAAAAACATTATGCTCAATAAAAGAACCCAGACACAAAAGACCACATACTGTATGGTTCCATTTATATAAATTCTATTAGAAATTTCTAATAGAAAAGACAAAGTGACAGAAGCAGATCCGGAGTCGGGCGAGGGGCTTGCCTGCAGAGGAGCACGTGGGAATATTTTCAGTTGATGAAAATGTTCTGTATCTTGATTTCGGTGATAGTTATAGAGCTATATATGTTTGTCAGAACTTACCAAACTGTATACCTAAAATTTATCAATTTCATCTTAATTATACTTCAGGTTTTGTTTTTTAAATCATAGCTTTTAGTTGCAGAAACCCACTTTTTATTTCAATGAAACGCAAATGTCAAGGCATTTTCTCAGAGTCAACAGACCAGTGTGTTCCTGTGCAAAGATAGGGGAGTTTCTGGCGAGGAAGCAAAACGGGATGCAGGAGATAAGAGGACCTTGCATCAACGTGAACTGTGTATACCTGTTTCCAAGTGCAGTTAATGGGGATAGTCTGATGTCGTCCTGGGCGCCCGCCATGGGAGGATGTTTAACTGAGGCTCTGGCTCCTTTCTCCAGCTCCTGCTTCACGTTTGCCATGACTTGACCTTGGCAGTGCTGAGCCAGCAGGCGGCCCGTTGGGGTGAGGCCGTGCAAGCACTGCTGCGGGCTGTGGTCCGCAGCTACGACTCGGGCAGCTTCACCGTCATGCAGGAAGTGCACTCAGCCTTCCTCCCTGAAGGTGAGTGACCCTGCCTCTGCCTGGGGCAGGCTCGTTAGTGGACAGCGTAACTACCCCAGAAGTGGTGTGGCGCTGGGGGTGCCCAGGTTACTAAAAGATGAGAGATTGCCCAGTTACGTCATTTTAGTAGAAAGTTCGAACTCTCTCACCCAAGCTTCTAAGAGGTTAGCTAGAATAACTGTGCTGTTTTCCTTTACCTGACCATACCCACCTTACTGCCTCCTGTCCACTTCCACACAGTCAGTTTAAGAGAGAGAGAAGTAGGAATGGAGTCACAAGTTAGTAAGACGAGCAAAGCACCGCAAAAAGGTGGACATTCCTTGAGCTGCGTGATTAGTCGCTGAACTGAATCGCTGTGATTTTTCAGCAACACAGTGTGATCTTACCTCATGTGGCCCCGGAGCCTTCAGTGGGATGGATGGAATACTTTTTCTATCATGCTTTGAATGACTTCTAGCCTGTAGCAGTGAGAATATTGTCCCAAGCCAGGAAATGTTTAGCTCCAGACGGCTTTTAGCAAAAAGCACGTGGTCCCATGGATCACATTGCTGTCCTTTTTCTTGGGGTCTGCCTCTTGAGCAATAGGAAATAGAACTTGAGGGCAGGAAGCCAAATTCTGACCGATAAAGAAATGTACAACCCAAAATCCTTTTCTTCTGCTCCTAGGCTGTGACCACCTAAGAGAGAAACTGGGTGAGCATCAGTCCCCCGCCACACCAGCTTTCAAAAGTCTGGAGGCCTTCTTTGTTTATGGGCGTCTGTATGAGTTCTGGTGGTCTCTCTCCAGCCCTTGCCCCAAATCCAGCGTCTGGGTAAGGGCTGGTCACAGCAGAACGCCGTCTGTTGAGCAGAGCCAGCAGTTGGACAGTGCCGGCACCACAGAAAATGAAGCTTCTCAGCCAGAGGCAAGCAGGCCTCCAGAACTACACTTGACACTCACAGAAGAAAGTGAGCGAATGCTGAGTGCTTGTAAGGATCTCCTTTCAGAAAAGCATGCCAGTCTCCAAAACTCCCAGAGAACTGTCGCCGAAGTCCAGGAGACCTTGGCAGAAATGATCCGCCAACACCAGAAGAGTCAGCTTTGTAAATCCACAGTGAATGGGGCTGACAAGAACGGACCTGAGCAGGAAGCAGAGCAGTCCCTCTCTGGCCAGAGCCAGTGGTAAGTACCGAGTCAAGTACAAGATGGGATGAAAAGTATCCTGCTGGATTCTCATCTAATTAGGTCACAATAAGTACATGATGCTATTGATCGGGTCACTTGGAAGCAGCACAGTGTAGTGATTAAGACATGGGCTTTGGGGTCAGATATGGGTTCCAACCCTGGCCCTGCTGAGTGACCTCAGGCAAGTTTCTTAATGTCTCAGGGTTTCAGTTTCCTCATCTATAAATGAGGGTACCAACTCCTACCTTGAGGATTTTGGTAGGAATTTGATTAAACAAAATCACATATATTCTTAGTAACAATAGTAATGTAAAATCCTACCATTGTGTCCTAAGTAGATTCTCCAAAAAAATCAATCATGTAATATGTGGAGCTGCCTTATTGCATCATTAATGAAAGACATCAGTGTTTTTCGATTGTTCTGTACTATTACAAAGAAACACACAAAAAGTGTAGTGTACAAAACTGCACACTGAACTGAGAAAATCCCAAACGGTCTTGCTTCCTAATTGCTTCGGTTGCAAACAGGCCAGGTGCAGGACAGGAGCCAGTCACCAGTCACTGGGAGAGCTGGATTTCCATCATTGTGGGGCACTTGGCGGGAGGTTTGCTGTGATTAACAATTATTGCTTGGTCGTTTTGCTGAGTGCCTTTTACCTTGATTATGTCCCCCAGCACAGGGCCTAGAACACAGTACCTAATATAATCAATAAATGTATAGTTGTTATTATTAACTTCAAAAAGTTAAAACTGGGCCGGGCGCGGTGGCTCACGCCTGTAATCCTAGCTCTCTGGGAGGCCGAGGTGGGC